ACCACAACCTCCGCCTCCTCAGTTCAAGCGATTCTCCTGCCTCAGCCTCCCAAGTAACTGGGGCTACAGGCATGTGCCACCATGCCCAGCTAATTTTTGTACTATTAGTAGAGACGGGGTTTCACCGTGTTGGCCAGGCTGATCTTGAGCTCCTGACCTCAGATGATCTGCCCACTTTGGCCTTCCAAAGTGCTGGGATTACATGTGTAAGCCACTGTGTCCGGCTGACAAATGGTAATTTCTTTGTTTTTTGTTTTTTGTTTTTTTTGAGATGGAGTGTTGCTCTGTCGCCCAGGCTGGATTGCGGTAGTGCAATCTGGGCTCACTTCATGCTCCGCCTCCCGAGTTCATGCGATTCTCTTGCCTCAGCCTCCCGAGTAGTTGGGACTACAGGTGCCCGCCACCACCACACCTGGCTAATTTTTTTCTTTCTTTCTTTCTTTTTTTTTTTTTTTTTTTTTTTTGAGACGGAGTCTCGCTCTGTCGGCCAGCCCAGGCTGGAGTGCAGTGGCGCGATCTCGGCTCACTGCAAGCTCCACCTCCCGGGTTCACGCCATTCTCCTGCCTCAGCCTCCCGAGTAGCTGGGACTACAGGCGCCCACAACCGCGCCCGGCTAATTTTTTGCAATTTTTAGTAGAGACGGGGTTTCACCGTGGTCTCGATCTCCTGACCTTGTGATCCGCCCACCTCGGCCTCCCAAAGTGCTGGGATTACAGGCGTGAGCCACCGCGCCCGGCCTTTTTTTTTTTTTTTGTATTTTTAGTAGAGACACGATTCCACTGTGTTAACCAGGGTGGTCTTGATCTCCTAACCTTGTGATCCACCCACCTTGGCCTCCCAAAGTGCTGGGATCACAGGCGTGAGCCACCGCGCCAGGCCAACAAGTGGTAATTTCTTAAGAGTTAGTTGCACAAAGGCAGGAGGATTGCTTGAGGCCAGGAGTTTGAGACCAGCCTGGGCAATATAACAAAACTGCACCTCTACAAAAAACTAAAAAATTAGTCAGGCACGGTTGTGTGCACCTGTAGTCCTAGCTACTCAAGAGGCTGAGGACGGAGGATTGCTTGAGCCCAGGAGTTCGAGGCTGCAGTGAGCTATGATCATACCACTGCAGTCTAGCCTGGGCAACAGAAAAAGACCCTGTCTCAAAAAAAAAAAAAAAAAAAAAAAAAAAAGAGAAAAAGTTAGTTGCAATGAGGAATTTGAAATCACATCAGTGAATTTTTGTATTCTGTGACCTTAAAACCCATTGATCTTTCACTTTGAATTGTTTTACTTGTGCATGATTTTATAACATCAAACACTGGTCATTTGGAAAGTATTGGTTCACCAAATTGTATAGGTCATCTAAATATTGATGCATTTTATTATACAATATCAAAAAATCACATTCATTAATATTACCACTTATTTCATCAGAAAAGTCTTTATTGTAAGTTACCAAGTTGATGGCAGTGGTTATAGATTTTCCAAAATTCTAATTTTTGCTTGAAAGCTCAAATTGTAATTGATAATTGGCAATAAATACTGTCAGTTGGCTGGGCACGGTGGCTCCTGCCTGTAATCCCAGCACTTTGGGAGGCTGAGGCAGGCAGATCACCTGAGGTCAGGAGTTCGAGAACAGGCTGGCCAACATGGCGAAACCCCGTCTCTACTAAAAGTACAGAAAAATTAGTCGAACGTGGTGGCGCATGCCTGTAATCCCAGCTATTCGGAAGGCTGAGACAGAGAGTTGCTTGAACCTGGGCAGTGGAGGTTGGCAGTGAGCCGAGATCTCGCCACTGCACTCTGCCCTGGGCAACAAGAGCGAGGCTCCATCTCAAAAAATAATAATAATAAATAAATGAATAAAATAAAAAATGAACAAAGTGAGCTGCCACTCACTTTGTGCCACTCACTTTTGTGGTGGCTTGCGCCTGTAATCCCAGCACTTTGAGAGGCCAACGTGGGCAGATCCTCCTGAGGTCAGGAGTTCGAGACCAGCCTGGCCAGCATCTCTCTACTAAAAATACAAAAATTAGCTGGGCATGGTGGTGGGTGCCTGTAATTGTGGATACTTGGGAGGCAGAGGCAGAGGCAGGAGAATCACTTGTACCTGGGAGGCAGAGGTTGCAGTGAGCCGAGATCACACCATTGCACTCCAGCCTGGGTGACGAGCAAAACTCTGTCTGAAAAATAAAATAATAATAAAATAAAATGATGTTCCATGATAAAAGCAGTTATTTATTTATTTATTTATTGAGACGGAGTCTCGCTCTGTCGCCCAGGCTGGAGTGCAGTGGCGCAGTCTTGGCTCACTGCAAGCTCCGCCTCCAGGGTTCACACCATTCTCCTGCCTCAGCCTCCCGAGTAGCTGGGACTATAGGCGTCTGCCACCACGCCTGACTAATTTTTTTTTTTTTTTTTTTTTGGTTTTTCAGTAGAAACGGGGTTTCACCGTGTTAGCCAGGATGGTCTCGATCTCCTGACCTGGTGATCTGCCTGCCTGGGCCTCCCAAAGTGTTGGGATTACAGGCACGAGCCACCACGCCTGGCCAAAAACAGTTATTTTAGCTTGCAACTTAATCATGTAGTGCTTTTTCTCAAGAAAACCATCATGTTTCAGTAAGCAGCAGAAGTAATTTAAGTCAGCTAGGCACAGTGGCTCACGCCTGTAATCCCAACACTTTGGGATTCTATTGCTATGGAAAGATCATGCAGAATGGTGGGTACAATATAATTGTCATTTGAGCAAAAGGGTAGAGAAGAGTCCGGGTGTGGTGGCTCATGCCTGTAATCCTAACACTTTGGGGGCCCAAGGTAGGTCAATCGCTTGAGCCCAGCAGTTTGAGACCAGCCTGAGTAATATTGTGAATCCCCATCTCTATAAAAAATACAAAAATTAGCTGGGCGTGGTGGTGTGTGCTTGTAGTCCCAGCTACTTGGGAAGCTGAGATGGGAGGATCCCATGAGCCCAGGAGGTCAGGACTGCAGTGAGCTGTCATTGTGCCCACTGCACTCCAGCCTGGGTGACAGAGTGAAACCATGTCTCAAAAAAAAAAAAAGTGCTTTATGTATACTTCTCATTTTGTCACACATAAATTATAAACACATATATTCAGGTGTTGAGATTTAATAAAATTAATAATTTTTACTGTGTCATCCAGGATACTCCTAAGTAGAACTGGCAATTTTCCCTTGAGATTACATGGCAGTGAAGAATACAATAACCAGTAGCACAGTCTGATTCATGCTAAGGCACCAGCAGTTATACCCACTGTTGCATTTGTACCGTCAGTGCTAATGTAAACATGGAAAAAGAAAAAAGGCAAATAATGTTTTTCTATTATAATAAAAATAGTTCTGACCTCATAGATCCCTAAAAGGGTATCAGGGACCACCAGGGGTCCATAAACGATACTTTTTGAACTACTGGCCTAAGCAGATCAGTGTTTAACCAATAAAGGCTTGTTCTTCTTAAATTTTTTCTTTTTTTTTTTTTTTGAGTCAAGATCTGGCTCTATCACCCAGACTAGAGTGCAGTGGTGCAATCTCAGCTTGCCGCAACCTTCATCTCCTGAGCTCAAGTTATCCTCCCACCTTAGCCTCCCGATTAGCTGAGATTATAGGCATGCACCACCATGCCCAGCTAATTTTTATCTTTTTAAAAATTATTATTTTATTTTTTCGAGATAGTGTCTCGCTTTGTTGCCCAGACTGGAATGCAGTGGCGCAATCTCAGCTCATTGCAACCTCCGCCTCCCAGGTTCAAGCGATTGTCCTGCCTCAGTCTCCCAAGTAGCTGGGACTACAGACGTGTGCCACCATGCCCGGCTAATTTTTGTATTTTTAGTAGAGACAGGGTTTCACTATGTTGGCCAGGCTGGTCTCAAACTCCTGACCTCAGGTGATCTGCCTGCCTCGGCCTCCCAAAGTGCTGGGATTACAGGCTCGAGCCACCGCGCCCAGCCAATTTTTGTATTTTTTGTGAGACAGGGTTTCACCATTTTGCCTAGGCTGGTCTCAAACTTGTGAGCTCAAGTAATCCTCCTACCTCGACCTCCCAAAGTGCTGGGATTACAGTCCCAAGCCACTGCACCCCTCTTTGTCTCCTTAAATTTTAAGCATGATTATATCATTACTGCATCTTAACCTAGTTTTTATCTTCTGACTATGGTGTAATAGTTTGGGCTGGGTGCGGTGACTCACGCCTGTAATCCCAACACTTTGGGAGGCTGAGGCGGGTGGATCACTTGAGGTCAGGAGTTTGAGACCAGCCTGGCCAACATGGTGAAACCCCGTCTCTACCAAAAATACAAAAATTAGCCGGGCATGGTGGCGGGTGCCTGTAATCCCAGCTACTCAGGAGGCTGAGGCAGGAGAATCGCTTGAACCCGGGAGGTGGACGTTGCACTGAGCCGAGGTCACACCACTGCACTCCAGCCTGAGCAATACAGTGAGACTCAGTCTCAAAAAAAAAAAAAAAAGAGAGAGCGATACAGTTTTATTTGGAAACCTCGATGTGTCCGATTTCAGTGTGCCATCCAAAGACCTACAAACCTCCAGAGAGAGCAGTTAGTTGCTAATAAGGGCTCTCATAATTTCCATCAAGCAGTAGTTTCACAGGTGGGCATCCATCTTGCTCCCTTCCTGGAAATCAAACTACATAATTTATTATTTTGTGTTATGTTCCTTAAAATAATATTGTACCTTTCTTCATTTCAGGGGAATGAAATGGTGTTTTATCGATTCCTTAAACTAGAAAGGTCGTAGTGTGTTGCAGATATTTCCAGAGTATTTCTGGGGATTGAAAGTGATAGAACTATGTATAAGGGCTTGAAACATTCCCAACTATTTTATTGCTTGTGTTAGATGAGATAGAAAGGAAGTGACCTACCAGTCAACTTGAGATGTATATTATATACATTCAAATATAAGAAGCCTTCTAAAAAAATGTATTGGCAGCTTTCCTTATGTTTGAGTTATAGCTACCTGAAAACTTTTGTTCCTATGCATAAAGATGTCTTTGGTGGACTTGGGAAAGAGGTTGCTAGAGGCAGCAAGAAAAGGCCAAGATGATGAAGTGAGAACATTGATGGCAAACGGCGCCCCATTCACCACAGACTGGGTAAGCTTAGAGGAAAGGTCTCTTAATTATTTCCAATGTATGCTTTACCAACCTTTTTCTTAAAGGCTAACAGACTTTATTGGTTTTTCTTCACTCCCTTTCTACCTCATATCCCTTACAAGAGTTTATTTTCTTTGTCTTATCTGAATATGTGGTTTTCTTTTTCTTTTAGTTTTCCAAATTGAGAGTCTCCTGTGGATATATAGGTGATAATTGTAAGGTATTATATACTTGTGATTTTCTATAATTTTTTAAGAGTATTTTCTAAAGGTTTAACTGTCTCTGGAGTGTACTTGCATTATAGACTTCTGTAATTAGGTAGAAATTAAAATCAATATAATAAGAATGAATTTCTAGACTAATAAACTCCTTGTTTCCTTTTCTGTAATATGCCCTGGTTGATAAGAAATCATCTAGGCTAAGCGTGGTGGCTCACACCTGTAATCCCAGCACTTTGGGAGTCCAAGGCAGGCAGATCACCTGAGGTCAGGAGTTCGAGACCAGCCTGCTAACATGGTGAAACCCCATTTCTACTAAAAATACAAAAAATTAGCCAGGCATGGTGGTGCATGCCTGTAATCCCAGCTACTTGGGAGGCTGAGGCAGGAGAAACGCATGAACTCGGGAGGTGGAGGTTGCAGTGAGCCGAGATTGCGCCATTGCACTCCAGCTTGGAAACTCCATCTCCAAAAAAAAAAAATAAATAAAAAGTCATCTAGCTGTTCTGTTTCCTTTACTACTGTTAAAAAACACTAAAGGCTGGGTGCCGTGGCTCATGCCTGTAATCCCAGCACTTTGGGAGGCCGAGGCGGGCGGATCACGAGGTCAGGAGATCCAGACCATCCTGGCTAACAGGGTGAAACCCCGTCTCTACTAAAAATACAAAAAAATTAGCCATGTGTCATGGCAGGCGCCTGTAGTCCCAGCTATTCGGGAGGGTGAGGCAGGAGAACGGCTTGAACCTGGGAGGCGGAGGTGCAGTGAGCCGAGATCGCGCCACTGCACTCCAGCCTGGGAGACAGCGAGACTCCCTCTCAAAAGAAAACAAAAACAAACAAACAAAACATAAAGAGGAAGGTGTAATTTAGCCTCAACCATCTTGGAGACCAAAGAGCTTTAGAAGAAACAGGTCCGGGTTATAATGTGGGCTTTCTTAGCAGTCACAGATTTTGTATGCATTGCCTAATTTTAACAATTTCAATGAATGAATGACCTCTATTCTGGAGTGATTGAGAGGCCAACAGATTCTTAGCACTTCACAAAAAGAAAGAAAAGGAAACCCATGATATTAGCATTTCTATAAATAGACCTGGAGAGAACAATGCGAATTAAATTCAGTCAGGCAGAGAGGCTGAAAATATGAAAAAGCAAAGAATAAACTAAACAGGCTTAAAATAAAGAGCATAACAAAAAAAAGGGAATAGATCTCTGGCCAACGTGGATGATGATGGATAACTCTTACAAGATTTACACTGGGATGACAGACTTACTTATTGCTGTTGATACATCATTGCTAAATTTTTATTGCCTCTTCATCTCATCATCATTCGTTTTGCCCTGCTTTACTGTGGCAAAAAACTTTTCTTCCAATCAGTCAGATTTGTACCTCAGATTCCACATGTAACTTTCTAGTGTCTACCCTTTTTCTTTTTTAAAATTTACTTTATTTATTTATTATGGGATAGGTCTCTCTATGTTGCCCGGGCTGGTCTTGATCTCTTGGGCTCAAGCAGTCCTCCTGTCTTGACCTCCCAAAGTGCTGGGATTGCAGGCATGAGCCACCACACCCACCCTGATCCTTTTTTTTTTTTTTTTAACTTTCTAAATGCTGTGTAAAGTCACATCCTTTAGGGAACCTTACTTGATAAATCCACCTGACATAAAGCCATTATACTTAGCACTTAATCAACTGGTGGTCTATTTATTTGTCCATTAGCATGTTAATTTTTTTTTTTTTTTTTTTTTTTGAGACGGAGTTTCCCTCTGTCGCCCAGGCTGGAGTGCAGTGGCACAATCTCAGCTCACTGCAACCTCCGCCTCCCAGGTTCAAAGCAATTCTCCCTGTCTCAGCCTCCTGAGTAGCTGGGATTACAGGTGCCCACCACCATGCCTGGCTAACTTTTTTTGTATTTTTTAGTAGAGACGGGGTTTCACCATGTTGGCCAGGCGGGTCTTGAACTCCTGACCTCAGGTGATCGGCCCACCTTGGCCTCCCAAAGTGCTGGGATTACAGGTGTGAGCCAGTGCACCCGGCCCCTGGCCTTTAATTTGTAAATTTAACCATTTTTTCAGTTTTATCTGCCCAACCAGATTCTCTCTTGAAGGACAAGCACCATACCTTGTTCATTTGTTTTTTTTTTTGTTTTTGTTTTTGTTTTGTTTTGTTTTGTTTTGAGATGGAGTCTCGCTCTGTCACCCGGGCTGGAGTGCAGTGGCCGGATCTCAGCTCACTGCAAGCTCCGCCTCCCGGGTTCACGCCATTCTCCTGCCTCAGCCTCCCGAGTAGCTGGGACTACAGGCGCCCGCCACCTCGCCCGGCTAGCTTTTTGTATTTTTTAGTAGAGACGGGGTTTCACCGTGTTAGCCAGGATGGTCTCGATCTCCTGACCTTGCGATCCGCCCGTCTTAGCCTCCCAAAGTGCTGGGATTACAGGCTTGAGCCACCACGCCCGGCTACCTTGTTCATTTGTATCTCTCCAGTAATGATCTAGGACTCTGCACACAGTGGTTATTCAATGAGTATTATTTTTCCACAGCTTGGAACATCACCCCTCCACCTTGCAGCTCAGTATGGTCATTATTCCACAGCAGAAGTACTCCTTCGAGCAGGTGTTAGCAGGGATGCCCGGACTAAAGTAGACAGGACCCCCTTGCACATGGCTGCTGCAGATGGACATGCACACATCGTGGAACTGCTTGTTCGGGTAAAGCAAGAATAGTGGCAAGGTTATGTTGTAAAAAAGACATCCACTTTCCTGTTTTCTTAAATGGGTACTAGGAAATGACTTGGGAAGGATTAAGTTTAGGACAGTTTATAGCATTAAGTTGCATCTGCAAGAGACTTCATGGCAGGCCAGGTGCCTGTAATCCCAGCACTTTGGGAGGCCGAGACGGGTGGATCACAAGGTCGGGAGTTCGAGACTGGCCAGACCAACATGGTGAAACCCCATTGCTACTAAAAAAAAACAAAAAAATTTAGCAGGACATGGTGGCGCGTGACTGTAATCCCAGCTACTCAGGAAGCTGAGGCAAGAGAATCACTTGAACCCAGGAGGTGGAGGTGTGGTGAGCCAAGATTGCGCCACTGCACTCCAGTCTGGATGACAGAGCAAGAATCTGTCTCAAAAAAAAAAAAAAAAAAAAAAGAGCCTTCATGTCTATGAGGAGTCTGTTTTCTTATTTATTTATTTATTTTGTTTTGTTTTGTTTTTGAGATAGAGTCTTGCTCTTGTTGCTTAGGCTGGAGTGCAGTGGCACGATCTCTGCTCACCACAACCTCTGCCTCCCGGGTTGAAGTGATTCTCCTGCCTCAGCCTCCCAAGTAGCTGGGATTACAGGCGCCTGCCACTATGCCCAGCCAATTTTTCTATTTTTAGTAGAGACAAGGTTTCACCGTGTTGCCCAGGCTGGTCTCAAACTCCTGACCTCCTGACGTGAGCCACCATGCCTATTTTCTAATTTATTAAAACAATTTTTTTTTTTTTTTTTTGGAGATGAACTCTTGGCCAGGTGTGATGGCTCACTCCTGTAATCCCAGCACTTTAGGAGGCCAAGGCAGGCGGATCACCTGAGGTCAGGAGTTCGAGACCAGCCTGGCCAACATGGTGAAACCCCGTCTCTACTAAAAATACAAAAATTAGCCAGGCGTGGTGGCAGGCGCCTGTAATCCCAGCTACTCAGGAGACTGAGGCAAGAGAATTGCTTGAACCCAGGAGGCGGAGGTTGCAGTGAGCCAAGATCACGCCATCGCACTCCAGCCTGGGGGACAAGAGCGAGACTTCGTCTCAAAAAAAACAAAAAAAAGAGATGAAGTCTCACACTATCGCCCAGGCTGGAGTGCAGTGGTGCAATCTTGGCTTATTGTAACCTCCGCCTCCTGGATTCAAGCGATTCTCCTACCTCAGCCTCCAAAGTAGCTGGGATTACAGGTGCCTGCCACCATGCTCAGATTTTTTTTTTGTATTTTTAGTAGAGACAGGGTTTCACTATGTTGGCCAGGCTGGTCTCAAACTCCTGACCTTGTGATCTGCCTGCCTCAGACTCCCAAAGTGCGGGAATTACAGGTGTGAGCCACCGTGTCTGGCCCTAAAACAATTTTTTAAATTTGATACAGGGTTTCACTCTTTTGCCCTGGCTGGAGAGCAGTGGCATGATCATAGCTCACTGTAGCTTTCAACACCTGGGTTCAAGCAATCCTACTGCCTCAGTCTTCAAAGTAGCTAGGAGGACTACAGGCATCCAGCACCACGCCCAGCTAATTTATTTTTGTTTTTATTTTTTGTAGAGAATAGGATCTCGTATTGCCCAGCCCAGGCTGGCTTTGAACTCCTGGCCTCAAACAATTCTCCTGCCTCAGCCTCCCAACACTGGGATTACAGGTGTGGGGTTACTGTGCTTAGCCAGTTTTTAAAATTTTTTTCTTTCTTTTTTTTTTTCTTTTTTTTCTGAGATGGAGTCTCGCTCTGTTGCCAGGCTGGAGTGCAGTGGCGCAATACCAGCTCACTGCAGCCTCTGCCTCCCAGGTGCAAGTGATTCTCCTGCCTCAGCCTCCCGAGTAGCTGGGACTACAGGCGTGCTCCACCGTGCCCAGCTAATTTTTGTATTTTTAGTAGAGATGGGGTTTCACCATGTTAGCCAGGATGGTCTCCATCCTTTGACCTTGTGATCTGCCCGCCTCACCCTCCCAAAGTGCTAGGATTATAGGCATGAGCCACTGCACTCGACCATTTTTTAAAAATCATATTAAAAAAAAAAAATTACAGATGAGGTCTCACTACGTTGACCAGGCTGGTCTCAGACTCCTGGCCTCAAGTGATCCTTCCATCCTCAGCCTTCCAAAGTGCTGAGATTATAGGCATGAGCCATTGCTCCCAGCCTAGTTTTCCAATTTATTATTATTATTATTATTGGTCTTTTTTTTTTTTTTTGGAGACAGGGGTCTCACTCTGTCACCCAGGCTGGAATGCGGTGGTATGATCTCAGCTCACTGCAGCCTCCACCGCCCAGGCTCAAGAGATCCACCCACCTCACCCTCCCCTTTAGCTGGGACTACAGGCACGTACTACCACTCCCGGCTAATGTTTTGAATTTTTTGTAGAGGCATGTTTTTTCACCATATTCCCCAAGCTCATCTTGAACTCCTGAGTTCCAGCTTTTCTAATTTTTTAAAGGCTAAACAGACTTACTGATTTTTCTTCTTTCCCTTTCTGAAGGTATTCTCTGCACTTATGCCTATTTATTCAGGTACTTGGCTCTCTATTAATAAATGCAACAAAAATCTGTTCCTTCCCTCTTTGTCTTCCATCTGTTTAATTTCCCAATGATGTCCTTAGAGGACCCACTCGTTGAAAGCATTATGTCTGTCAGCATTTAGGAGAATTTGAGAAATGTTTTTCCCTTTGATATTCCTTAAATGTGATCTAGATTTGAGTACATAATATCTATGGAAATCCTCTGTATTTGATGATGGGATGTTGCACCTGTGCTCCTATAACCACTGTTTGTTGAAAAAAAATGCTTTTCTGTGACAGAATGGTGCAGATGTGAATGCCAAGGACATGCTGAAGATGACAGCTTTGCATTGGGCCACAGAGCGCCACCATCGAGATGTTGTAGAGTTACTTATCAAATATGGAGCTGATGTCCATGCTTTCAGCAAATTTGATAAATCTGCCTTTGACATAGCTCTGGAGAAAAACAATGCTGAGATTTTGGTCATCCTCCAGGTGTGGTTCTTTTCATACTCTCCAGAGTATACGTCAATTGAAGTTAAGGATTTTTTTGTGGGAGTTGAATCAAAACTGAATTTTCCCTATCTTATTAAAATAGCATTTCTAATATGTCTCAATCTTGTGACTCAGTGTCACTATATATATAGCATATACATAACATAAATATATATTATATATGTTAATGCGATACTGCGCCCAGGTGTGTCCCATTAATTTCTGTTTCCCACCCCCCACTCCGAGATGGAGTCTCACTTTGTCGCCCAGGTTGGCGTGCAATGACACGATCTTGGCTCACTGCTCGGATTCAAGTGATTCTTCCTCCTCAGCCTCCCGGGTAGCTGGGATTACAGGTACCTGCCATCATGCCCAGCTAATTTTTGTATTTTTGTAGAGATGGGTTTCACCATGTTGGCCAGGCTGGTCTTGAACTCCTGACCTCAGATGATCCGCCTGCCTCGGCCTCCCAAAGTGCTGGGATTACAGGCATGAGCAACTGCGCCCGGCCTGCCCATTAATTTCTTAAGCCAGCACTGTATATCAGGGAACAATAGGACAGGGGATATAAAAATTAACAGGACATGGGCCAGGCGTGGTTGCTCATGCCTGTAATCCCAGCACTTTGGGAGGCCGAAGCAGATGGATCACCTGAGGTCAGGAGTTTGAGACCAGCCTGGCCAATATGGCGAAACCCTGTTTCTACTAAAAATGCAAAACAAATTAGCCGGGCATGGTGGTATGTGCCTGTAATCCCAGCTACTTGGGAGGCTGAAGCAGGAGAATCGCTTGAACCTGGGAGGCAGAGGTTGCAGTGAGCCAAGATCACGCCACTGCATTTGAGCCTGGGCAACAAGCAGGATTCCATCTCAAAAAAAATATTAATATGACATGAAGTGTTCAAAGCATGATAAAAGACAGGAAATAAAATATTATAATATTGCATGATAAATAGATATCTAGTAAGTGCTATGGGAGCACAAAGGAGGGAATAGTAGGTTTTGAACGGAATATTGAAGTAGGCAGAGAAGTGAGAAAACTATATTCTAGGCTAGAATAAGAGCAAATCAAAGACACAGAGGTGTGAAAGAACATGGAATGTTCAAGAAAAAGTAGTTGAGTGATGAGAGAATGGGCAAAGGAAGCAGAGTTTGGGAGTGGCAGATGCTAAGCTTGAAAGTTAGGCTGGATTCTGAATGTAGGGATGCTTTACAGCATGTGAAGGAGTTTGAACTGTTATGTGAGCGATGGATTTGGATAGAAGTTTTTAAATAGAGGACTGATATGATTAAATTTGTTTTGAAAAGATGATGTGACACACAGATGAGAGAGAGACACTTAATGCTAAATAACTATATGATGACTTTCATTAGGCCAGGCAAGGGCCAATGAGAAATTGAACCAAGGAAGTGCTACTATTTCACCATGTAGCAGTACTACTCTTCCCTCCTGTGTGCTCCCATAGCACTTACTAGATGTCTGTTTATCATGTAATATTATAATATTTTATTTCGTATCTCTAATTTTATCATGCTGTGAGCACTTCATGTCCTAGTGGAGGATAAAGGAAAACAGCAAATTCAAAAAGGAATTTAGGCCAGGCACGGTAGCTCACACCTGAAATCCTAGCACTTTGGGAGGCCGAGGCGGGTGAATCACCTGAGGTCAGGAGCTCAAGCCCAGTCTGGCCAACATGGTGAAACCTCATCTTTACTAAAAATACAAAAATTAGCTGGTTTGGTGGTAGGTGCCTGTAATCCCAGCTACTTGGGAGATGGAGGCAGGAGGTTGAACTTGGGAGGTGGAGGTTGTAGCGAGCTGAGATCGTGCCACTGTACTCAAGCCTGGGAGACAGAGTGAGACTCTCAAAAAAAACCAAGAAGGAATTTGACAATATCCAAAGAATGGATAACCTGTTTCAATTGAAGCTCTTAGTCAAGGGGATAATTATATATGAAAAATAGTCATTTCTGGCTGGGCACGGTGGCTCATACCTATAATCCTAACACTTTGGGAGGCTGAGGAGGGTGGATTGCCTGAGCTCAGGAGTTCAAGGCCAGCCTGGGCAACTCGATGAAACCCTGTCTCTACTAAAATACAAAAGAAATTAGCCGGGCATGGCAATGTGCGCCTGTAGTCCCAGCTACTTGGGAGGCTGAGGCAGGAACCGTGGAGGTGGAGGTTGCGGTGAGCCGAGATTGCACCACTGCACTCCAGCCTGGGCAACAGAGCAAGACTCCGTCTCAAAAAAAAAAAAAAAAAAAAAAGGAAGAGAGAGAGAGAGAAAGCAAGCAAGCAAGCCATTTCTGCTGCATTTTCAGTATTTTTTTTTTCTAACTGACAGGTGGTCTATAGACTGGTTAGCCCCTTCAACTTTCAATTCTTTGTTTAGAGCCCTTTCATAACTGGACTTTTTAAAGTAGTGATTATGCTTGCAGAAAATTGCTTCTGAAAGTAATAAAATAAAGATAAGCTACTTTTCACCATAATTGAACAGATATCCCTGGAAGCAAAAGTACAGCATATGGAGCGAGACTTTAAAATCTGGCACTTATTTGCTTGTTATATATTCTCTTAGGAATTTCTTCAATGGCAGAATGGAACAAGTAGTTGGATAAAACTCTAGAGAATATTGTTCTCTGTAGATACTCTGCAGGGATCTCTTGCTAGCACACTGACTTGTAGATAATTAATCACAAAATATTAGTGCTGGAAATTACTTTTTATTTTTTATTTTTATTTTTATTTTTTTATTTTTGAGATGGAGTCTCACTCTGTTGCCCAGGCTGGAGTGCAGTGACGTGAGTTTTAGCCAGGATGATCTTGATCTCCCGACCTTGTGATCCACCCGCTTCGGCCTCCCAAAGTGCTGGGATTACAGGCGTGAGCCACCACGCCCGGCTGGAAATTACTTTTTAGACTATTCAGATCAACTCCCTCATTTTTCTTTTTTCTTTTTTTGAGACAGAGTCTCACTCTGTCACCCAGGCTGGAGTATAATGACGCTATTTTGGCTCACTGCAATCTCTGCCTCCTGGGTTCAAGCAATTCTCCTGCCTTAGGCTCCCGAGTAGCTGGGATTACAAGCACCCACCACCACGCCCAGCTGATACTTTTGTAGTAGAGACAGGGGTTTCACCATGTTGGCCAGGCTGGTCTCAAACTCCCGACCTCAAGTGATCCACCCGCCTCAGCCTTGCAAAGTGGTGGGATTACAGGCATGAGCCACTGCACCTGGCCTGACTCCCTCATTTTTCAAATGAAAAAAACAAGATTCATAGAGGTTAAATGAATTGTCTAGAAGGTTTTGCAAATAATACACCTTTGCTTTCCTGAAGTAGAAACAAGCTTTGGAAAGCAACCTAACAACTCTGTTGGCCTGGTCTGAAAAAAAAAGGTAGTCTTAATGAGAACTCTGATCTCCGGTGGGACATTGTATATGGGAACTAGTTATGATTGTTAGAGCATTGGGGTGGGAGTGGAATATGCTGTTCAGTAACTGTGTAACTAAAGCTAATAAGTGTTCTTGGGCTGGGCATGGTGGCTCATGCCTGTAATCCTACCATTTTAGGAGGCCAAGGCGGGCGATTTGCCTGAGCCCAGGAGTTCTAGACCAGCTTGGGCAACGTGGCAAAACCCCGTATCTACTAAAAATACAGAAAATTAGCTGGGCGTAGTGGCACATGCCTGTAATCTCAGCTGCTTGGGAGGCTGAGGCATGAGAATTTCCTGAACCCAGGAAGCGGAGGTTGCAGTGAGCCGAGATCATGCCACTGCACTCCAGCCTGGGCAACAGAGCGAGACTGTCTCAAAAAAAAAAAAGAAAGAAAGAAAGGAAAAGCTAATAAGTGTTCTGATTGAAATATCCTGCCTTGTTTGGTAGGAAGCAATGCAGAATCAGGTGAATGTTAATCCAGAGAGAGCCAACCCTGTGACTGACCCTGTGACTATGGCTGCTCCATTCATCTTCACATCGGGAGAGGTTGTTAAACTCACAAGCCTTGTTTCTTCAGCCAACACCAAAACAACCTCAGGTAATGTTCTGATAACATGAAATTTATTTTATACTCAAAAATGAACAGAACCCTAGATTTTCCAAGAGATGAATGGATACCCTTTCTAATACTCCATAATTAAAATATTGCCAAAGCAGAAGATTGTAATAGATTTTAAAGCTAAGGTACTTATTCTTTCTGGGGAAGGGAAAATCATACATAGGGGTTACAAAGGAATACTTATTATGTTAAAAGTAGAATATTCTGGCTTGGGCACAGTGGCTCATATCTGTAATCCCAATGCTTTGGGAGGCCAAGGTGGGAAGATTGCTTGAGGCTACCCTGGTCTAGGCAACATAGAGAGACCCCATCCTCTACTAAAAATACATTAGGTGGGCATGATGATTCATACCTGTAGTCCCAGCTACTCAGGAGGCTGACATGGGAGGATCTCGTGAGCTCAGGAGTTGGACTTACTGTGAGTTATGATTGTGCCACTGCACTCCGGCCTGGGAGACACAGCAAGACCCTGTCTCTAAAAAAAAGGAAAATATTCTACAGATTAATCTATTGAAGGGTTATGCCTAGACCAAAAATGAAAATATGAAGGTGCCTTGACATGATATTGATAAGGGAAATAAACATTAATAGTTTAAAGCAGGCCGGGCGCGGTGGCTCAAGCCTGTAATCCCAGCACTTTGGGAGGCCGAGACGGGCGGATCACGAGGTCGGGAGATCGAGACCATCCTGGCTAACACGGTGAAACCCCGTCTCTACTAAAAAAATACAAAAAACTAGCCAGGCGAGGTGGCGGGCGCCTGTAGTCCCAGCTACTCGGGAGGCTGAGGCAGCAGAATGGCGTGAACCCGGTAGGCGGAGCTTGCAGTGAGCTGAGATCCGGCCACTGCACTCCAGCCTGGGTGACAGAGCGAGACTCCGTCTCAAAAAAAAAAAAAAAAAAAAAAGTTTAAAGCAGTAACAAAGCAGAATAAACATAAGTGGCTTTTGGAGTACTGATATAAAAGAGGTAAATGTGATTATCTGAATAAAGTATAAGAGTCTGGATTTGTTCTTGAGTGCATATATAAAAAGAAAATAGCAGAGAAAACTACTTGGTGTTGATCTTTTGAAACCTGTATGTTTTTAACTTGGCGTGGTGCCTCTTGCCTGTAGTCCCAGCACTTTGGGAGGCCAAGGCGGGTGGATCACCTGAGGTCAGAAGTTTAAGACCATCCTGGTCAACATGATGGAAGCCCATCTCTACTAAATATACAAAAATTAGCTGGATGTGGTGGCGAGTGCCTGTAATCCCAGCTACTTGGGAGGCTGAGGCAGGAGAATCGCTTGAACCTGGGGAGGAGGAGGTTGCGGTGAGCCAAGATGGTGCCATTGCGCTCCAGCCTGGGCAACGAGAGTGAAACTTCATCTCAAAAAAAAAAAAAAAAAAAAAAAAAAAGAAACCTGTATGTTTTCAACAAAACCATCTATCTAAATAAGAATGAACGAGTTTATTTTCAGCATCTCCTTTTTTTTTTTCCTCCAAGTTGGAGTCTAGCTCTGTTTCCCAGGCTGGAGTGCAGTGGCATAATCTTGGCTCACTTCAACCTCTGCCTCTCGGGTTCAAGTGATTCTCCTGCCTCAGCCTCCTGAGTAGCTGGCCCTACAGGCGCGTGCCACCACGCCCGGCTAATTTTTGTATTTTTACTAGAGACGGGGTTTCACCGTGTTAGCCAGGATAGTCTCGATCTCCTGACCTCGTGATCTACCCACCTCAGCCTCCCAAAGTGCTGGGATTACAGGCATGAGCCACCACCCCTGGCCTTTCAGTCAGCATCTCCTTTACAGATATTTGTTTTACAATGAAATAACTTGTGTCCTCATTTAAATAAATTTTCCAATTGACTATTGGTTTCTTTTTCTGTTTCTTTTATTTGAAATAACAGTATCCTTAGTTAAGTTTCTATAATGTCAAAGGAAAGATCTTGACTAAGCTATTGATATTGAGAGGTAGTGTGGTAAAAGAGAAGAAACAATATGTGATATACGGGGAATTTTGGAATCAGAATTGTGCTGAAATAATTATTGGTTGACTAGCTGCTTGACCCTAGGAAAACTTCATACTTTTCTGTGCCTTGTTTACTTATCAGTAAAATTGGGATATAATAATACCTACTTTATGAGGTTGTTGTGAGAGTTTAAGAATTTGTATTTGAAGGTCCATTTTATACTAGGGTTTCAATAATAGCTATTAAATGAAAACATAATTTCTTAGCAAAGTTTGACCCCAACATGCCCACCAGGGGGCAATAGTGATCTTCATTGTATAGGCTATCAACAGTTATTTAAAATAATTTTGCATTCAGCTGGATGATACAAAAACTTTACATTAAATTTATATATACATGTAATCAGAACATTCACGATCTTTTGGATTCATATTGGTTCAGTCACACTGATTAAAACAACTTTTTTTTTTTTTTTTTTTTTTTTTTTGAGACGGAGTCTCGCTCTGTCGCCCAGGCTGGAGTGCAGTGGCGCGATCTCGGCTCACTGCAAGCTCCGCCTCCCGGGTTCACGCCATTCTGCTGCCTCAGCCTCCCGAGTAGCTGGGACTACAGGCGCCCACAACCGTGCCCGGCTAATTTTTTGTAATTTTTAGTAGAGACGGGGTTTCACCTTGGTCTCCATCTCCTGACCTTGTGATCCGCCCGCCTCGGCCTCCCAAAGTGCTGGGATTACAGGCGTGAGCCACCGCGCCCGGCCAACTTTTTTTTTTTTTTTGAGATGCAGTCTCACTCTGTTGCCCAGGCTGGAGTGCAGTAGCCCAATCTCGGCTCACTACAACCTCCGCCTCCTGGGTTCAGGCGATTCTCCTGCCTTAGCCTCCCGAGTAGCTGGGACTACAGGCGCCTACCACCACACCCAGCTAATTTTTATATTTGTAGTAGAGACAAGATTTCACCATATTGGCCAGGCTGGTCTCAAACTCCTGACCTTGTGAACCACCCGCCTCAGCCACCCAAAGTGCTGGGATTACAGGCGTGAACCACTGCACCCAGTTGAGTTGGTCTTTAGTCTAACTACTGAAATTCTCCAGACCCAGATCTGGAATGATAAGCAAAGCATATTTTGGATAGAGATTCTTTGCTTGTTTCCCGTGTGCCAATATCATGTTTGTCATGTAGCTTTTGGCAGACCTACTCGACTTTCTTTCCTCTTTATGTGGATAACTGCAAATTGAAATTCCTAAACTATCATATAATAGAGCTGACTGCCCCAATATCATCTTATAAAGCAGTCTACCTAGCTATCCCTCTTTAGCTGATTAGTCTATCCAATGCTTAATTGGTGCAGATAAAGGAAAGGAGAACATTTGTAAGACAAATTCAGGTCTTATAAGTGTTAGTCAACTGCTTTAAAGGATATTCTTTTCTGAAGTGGCAAGTGGGCTTCTTGTTTCCCATCATCCAATAATACTTTTAATAATTGAAGGAGCTTTCATTCTAGTGTATAGAATGCAGGCTGCCCCAAATAAAAATAAATTTTAAAGCCTTAGACTTTTTTTAAGATTTTGTTTTTTAGATTTAGATTTTTAAAAAGATTTTTTTGTTTTTGTTTGAGACAGAGTCTCACTCTGTCACCCGGACTGGAGTGCAGTGGCTCAGCCTCGGCTCACTGCAACCTCCAACCTCCACTTGCAGGGTTCAAGCGATTCTCGTGCCTCAGCCTCCTGAGTAGCTGGGATTACAGGCCCATGCCCAGCTTTTTTTTTTTTTTTTCTTTCTTTCTGAGATGGAGTCTTGCTGTTGCTCCCAGCTACTCGGGAAGCTGAGGCAGGCGAATTGCTTGAACCCGGGAGGCGGAGGTCGCAGTGAGCCAAGATTGTGCCATTGCACAATGGAGTGCAATGGCCTGATTTCTGCTCACTGCAACCACCGCCTCCTGGGTTCAAACGATTCGCCTGCCTCTACCTCCCAAAGTGCTGGGATTACAGGTGTGAGCCACCACGCCCGGCGTTAAAAAATCTTAATTGCTTCCTTCTCCTCAACATAAAACCCAATATTAAATGAAGTAAAATGTGCATGGATGCTGTTGATTTTGGAAAGAAAAAGGCCTATCAGTGAAACGCTTGTTACTTATTCAGAAGTTTATATAAGTAAACTCTTTAGATCAGGATTTAGGAGGGTTGTGCTGGCCAGGCTGGTCTTGAACTCCTGACATCAAGCGATCCACCCCACCTTGGCGTCCCAAAGTGCTGGGATTACAAGCATGAGCCACCACACCCGACCTATTTATATTTAATTTGGAATGCATCTCATGATTGTGCAGAAACAGGAAATTCATCTTTATACCTTTATCCTGATTAATGTTTAAATTACTCTGCCTTCCCAAATCCCTGCAGTTTGGTGGTGGCACTGATGATGACTGATATCCTTAGTCATAAATAGAAATTTTTGGTTTTTTTGAGACAGAGTCTCACTCTGTCCCCCAGGCTGCAGCGCACTGGCATGATCTTGGCTCACTGTAACTTCTACCTCCCAGACTCAAGTGATCCTCCTGCCTCAGCCTCCCAAGTAGCTGGGACTATAGGCTTGTACCACCATGCCTCGCTAAGAGACGGTTTCGTCATGTTGCGCAGGCTTGTCTTGAATTCCTGGACTCAAGCAATTGTTCTGCCTTGGCTTCCCAAAGTGCTAGGATCACAGGCATGACCCATCATGCCTGGCCACGAATGGAAAATTTGAAAACAAACTGCAATCCAGATTTTGCTATCAAAAATACCTACTAAAGGCTGGGCGCGGCGGCTCACGGCTGTAATCCTAGCACTCTAGGAGGCCTAGGTGGGCGGATTGCCTGAGCTCAGGAGTTCGAGACCAGCCTGGGCAACATGGTGAAACCCTATCTCTACTAAGAATACAAAAATTAGCCAGGCATGATGGGGCGTGCCACCTACTAAATACCTACTAAAATGATAATCCTATGATACTTTCAGTTAATTCTTTATATAAATATATAAAATACATAAATATGTAATACGT